GGACCTACCGTCTTCCCCCGAACATACTGCATATGCGTTATGTTTGAGTGAACTAAACCAACTTTGCCTGCACAAGGGGGTCGGGTCCAGGCTGAGTAGGCTCAGTTCTGGACCACGGCTGGGGGCCTCAGAGCCTATGCAAAAAGGTAAAAGTGAAGTAGGGTCTCGCCGCACGGCACACGAAACAAAAACGAAATGAGGGCATCTGCCCACGAAAGGTGGCAGAATACACTCGTTACTATTGATTGCAAACCGATGAACCTGGCCATTTTCTGCAGGAAGATGCACTCGTTTCGTTTTTCGTTTTGTGTCCTGTGCGGCAACACCCGTAGCCATGTACCTTTCCATGTTCTGGCAACACCTTGGTGAGTGGCCTTCTGATTTTTCCACTTTCTTGGCTGCGCGATATTTCTGGCTGTCAGAAGGGCCATCCCCCATAGGCGGGGAGAGAGAGAGAGAGAGAGGGAGAGAGAGAGCAGCTTGTCAGTGGCAGGGAGGGTAGTTTCTTGCGGACAGCAGAGGACACACACACACACACACACACACACACACCCGCCACCATCGCCACCGGCATCCCCACCACCCTCCCCGCCGACATCTTCTTCTACATCATCCCCCCCATCATCTAACCCCTCCTGCTGCTTCTTCCTCCCCTTCTTCTGCTTCTTCTTCTTCTTCTTCCTCTTCCTTCTCTTCATCCTCTTCTCTACCCTCTTCGTCATCTTCCCCTTCCTCCTCTACCTTGCCTGATTCATCATCTTCGTTATCAACACATTCCTGGTCAGATCAGCCGTCGCGGCGACCCCTTCATCCAAGGCATCTACTGTTGAATCGGTCGTTGCAGACACTTCGTCGGCGGAGGCGCTCCCCGTCTCCACCACCGTCTCCAAGACAACGACCTCGTTTATCCATGGATGGTATGATCACTGCGCCCCGTGCAGGGGTTCGAGATCTGCTCCGACGCCATGCCCGCAATCGTACAGAACGACGGCGTCGCGCTCAATACACACTAGCCCGGAATAGTGCATGTCGAGTTCGATGCCAACAATGTGGTGAAGATTTCTTCAGCATTACGGGCCTGCGTGTGCATCAGACAAGGGGTGCGGCTGCCTGTGCAGCTTTTGCACGACTGGCAGCCACCTTAACTACAAGTGTGGCTGATCACCCTCCATTACCTGCATCTGACCCACCTATATCTCACCCACCCATTTCTCCCCCGCCTGACCCCGCATGTTCCCTGACCCCACCCATTTCTGATTATTTGATGGAGCTGCTAGAGCCGATGCAGTTTCCACAAACGGAGGAACCTGATAGAAACGATCAATATCACATTGAATCTCCGCCTGCCGTGCAATCCACAGAACTGAATGAACTGCCCCCTGCCGCACAACCAGCAGAATCATATGATCTCATAGTGCTGCAGCGAGGCTATTGTGCGTACTGTGCTATCAATGTAAGTCTCCTCGCTTACAATTGTAACCCTTACACAGTTTCTGAATTTGCTGATATTGTCCGCTGGATAGAAGAAGAGCACCGTACTGTCTGCCCAGGGGATGACAGTACTGGTCCTGGAGTGAACATAGAGGTCTTGTCTATCGCATTTATGGGTAGAAGACTACAACTGCAGCCTGCTCCCCAAAACCACATGCCAGACATGAACCCAAATATTCACGCGTACATCCTGCATCGGCCAGGGCCTTATGGGACAATGGAGGTAGGGTGCACACGGTAAGTAGCATTAACTCTTTCTATAACCAAGTAGCAAATACTCACTCAATTTGGATTATCCTTCAGGAACAATACACTACTTCGCACCCGCAAGCGCTTCAGTCTCTGGAGAGCAATCCGGATGTGCAATTACCTCCTTCCCCTGCACATGACCTGGCAGTGTCCCCTCCCTGTGTAGATCGGGCAGATTCTGCTCTAGACAATGAAAGAACCTCCTTAGAAGATGATGGCTGTGCCCTTCCATTCTGTAGCCACACAGCCACAGTCCGGTTATAGTCTCTGCTCCGAACACTATGAAGGGATGGTCACTGCCAGCCTCTGTCGCGTAAACTGCGACTCTTCGTCTTGTGTTCATCCCCCCCACCCCCTAATCGCCTGCCCAATATGTCGTCGTGGCCTTAATCTGCCATGCTTAAATAGCTGCGAACGTCAACCTGCCTTCCTGCTGACATGTCAGCAACATGCCAWGTGTCATCAATGTTTCCAGGAAGCTGTCATAGAAAGCATGTGCCTCTACTGCGTGGACTATCCACAATGCCATCATCCACCACATCCTCTCTTAGCATGTCCCACATGCAGAGTTGGGCATACAATTACTGTAAACGCCATCGGATCTCCTTCTTTCCTGCCCGACGAACAGCAAACTCAACAGCCTGAGCAGGAAAATAGAGTATCACATGAGCCACTTATAGAGCACTGTGCTGAAGGGCTAACACCACCAGGACGAACTGTTGCAGAAGAAATCCTGCAGCAGCTAGACACCCTTGTTTTGGATGACCCCCTCTTGCCACAGTCGTCGTTGTCGTCGTCGGTCCATAGAGAAGGAATCAATGCCGAGGAAACTCAAAATACTTGCTCAATGYCRTTCTGTGATGATCCACCGGAGACTYGGCTAGCATGTGGGCAACATGCATTGTGTCATGAGGATTATGAAGGCACAGCCCGTGCGTCTTTCTGTTTTCATACGTATGATGACAGTCAATATTGCACTCACGTCCGGCACCCTGACATGTCATG